GTCGGCGACAATTGCATGGAAATGCATGTATTCTACTGTCAGTTTATCAGTAACGCCATCGCGGCGAGCCCAACAACACATGCCCGACACGATTGAACGGAATGCGTTTGTCCGTTTGATTTAACCCAGGACATTGTCTTTCTTTTTCCTTTTCCCATCCCAAGTAGCCCACTACTTTTGTCCCTTCCTCTTCCCTCTTTTGCATTGAGATTTTCGGTTCATTTTATTTCAGACTTTCTTATTAATTTATCTTTTTCTTTAATCAAGACAACCAAAATGAACTATCATGTATGTCCTCCACAACCAATATATATATATTTGAATGTTCTTAGCTGAGGATAAAATAAATAAATAAAGAATGTTCTTAGCAATGTGGCACATGCCTTGGTTTTTCTTTCTCCAAAAATAACTACCATATTAAATTATGTGAAGAAGGAAATACGTATGACATAGCAATATAATTCAATAAGAAAAAATCCTTAGTTCTACCAACATATATTAAATCCTCTTTTTGGTGGTAAAGGTACATGGTAGGAGTGAAAATTGAATATTAATTGAAACTATTATATGGTATCAGGCGTATTATAATAATATAATTAATGGTCAAAATAAAAGAGATCAAGAAAAAGATGATTTCAAGTTTTGTTAATTAATTTGCTTCTTTTTCTAAATTTCTTTAGTGTTCAACTTACTTTGTATACAATCCAAAATTTATTTTATTAAGTTGCTATTCAGAGTTTAGACTAATACTTTAAAAATCACTCTTTCAAAATTTGTTTATACCCAAAAATTAATAATTCAACTTAACCCCGGCCAGTAGTCAGCCACATTAAAAATTACTAAACCTCGACTTGTTCGTTTCTTTAGAACTGCAAAAAGCTTTACTGGAGTACAGATCTAGAATCACTTAATTCACCTCCTCATTCTTCTAGTGCTTCCCTCGGATGGATTATTTGGACTATGAGTTGTTCACCGGCCTCAGGAATGTGATAATGCATTACACGGTGCTGGAGCATTCTTTTTTTTTTTTATCAACAATTAGAGTATCTTTAGAACAATTTTTACACACTGTAAAATTAATAAAATAACAACTTAATTAATTTAATAATAATTTATTTTTAGTAAAAATAAAGAGATTTTAAATTTAAATCACGTGAGGTGAGGTAAATTAAGAAATTAAAAAAATTACATCTTATTGTACAATCCATTATTTAAAAAAAAACTAAAACAAATAAATCATTAAAAAATTGCTAAATAAACACAAAACATAATCATAAAAATGAAAAACGAAACGATATATATATATATATATATATGACAGAAACTTGTTTTTAATTCAAAATCTATCATTTGTTCATTTTACGTTGCAGCATTTACTTGGGAGGGAATAAAAGAGGAAAAAGAGGAGAAAGGATGTAAAAGGTCAACTCAATTGCTTGAATTAGAAGAGGGACTCAACTAACAAAAGTGAAGGCATAAAACAAAGCCCACATCTAAAGCCCAAATATGGGGCCCTAACCAAAAACATTCACCCGTTTAATTTGAATCCTTCTAGAAGGCCCGTTTTATGGAATTGTATTTGGTTAAAATATTATTTTAGTCCCTCAATTTTTAGTTTTAGACCAAGTTGGTCCTTAAACTTTAAAACCACCAAAATCATCCTTAATTAAACTTTAATTTTCTCGAACCAAACTGGTCCTTCCATTGGCTAATTTTCCATCCAAAAGTTAATTTTTCTTAATTTTGAATAGGATTTTTCGAACTAATGCATTTTTTCTTTTGGTAGAAAGAGTGCTGGAGACGGCAGAAGGTTGGGCGCAGGAAGATGAATGACGGCAACTAATGCATATTTTTGTCTTTAAGTTATATAGAAATAATAAAATTTTACTTTAATTTTAACAACTAACTAATTAAATTAAAACACATGGTATTGATGATAAAATTAATATCAATTTTTTATTTTTTTATATAAATTAATAATTAAAAATAAAATAATTACACCTTCAATCTATACTTATGGACATATGTTAAAAAAATCCTTTTAAATATTTTGTAGAAATCAGATGGAAAACGTGGCATCCATATAGCATTCACATGACATTTTTATAAACTTTAAAGATTAAAAGCAAGTAGTGGGTCCATCTAATTTCATCTTAAATGGCACTTTTATTAACAATTTTAATCATGTAATTAATAGAGTAAAAAGTGTTTACATGTAAAAATGAGACCTACTTAAATAATAATAGTGTGTTTGGGTTGAGAAAAAAAAAGAAAGATTTTTTGAATAATCAAATTATAACGTAATATAATTAAATTATATCATTTTATGATATTATAATTTAGGTTAAACCCTCAATTTGGTTTTTGAACTAAAAAAATTTATGATTTAGTCATTGAACTGTTGTACGAACCCGAATTTGGTTCTTACTATTTATCAATTTACCCCAAATTGATCTTTTCATATAAAAAAATAGTTGATGTGTCCGTTACTTAACGACGAAAAATAATAACTTAACGATGAAAAACAATAACTTAACAACCATGTGTCACTATAATAACAAAACACATCAGTTGGTTTTTGTATGGAAAGACCAATTTAGAATAAATTGATAAACAGTAGGACCAAATCGAAAGTCCGTATAATAGTTTAGGGATCAAATTAAAAATTTAACCTATAATTTAATTAATTAAAATAATTTTTTCCCTTCCTCTCGACTCAAATAAATGGTAAAATAAAAACAATTCTTGAAACACGAAAAAGACAAGCATATCATTGTCTTCCTCACTTCTCTCAATTGCAGCATTACTAGCAGGATTCTAGGGTTTTCTGTAAAATGTTTCTTG